AGCAAGCCTCATGTTTTCACTTCAGTGCATGGCTGCCGGCCGCCATCTTGGCTGACAGTTAATTTGCATAAGGATATGCTGATTAGCCAATGGGAAGGGTAGCGGTCGTACGCTAATTACCATGTTTCTCTTTTATTAGTGTAGATAGGACTATTTTATTCACTTGTGTAATTAAAACAGTAGCCTGTGATGGAATACTATGCATGAATGTTTATTTAATCTATAGGAAGAAAATGAGAAAAGAATGCAACACAAGGATTATTCAGACAATGAATCTACATCTTCGGATATGTAAGTAACGTTAAGTGTTCAGTCAATATTTCTGTGCAAAAAGCATGGAATTAATTTTAATTTTTTTTTTTTTTTAAGTTCTGGAAAGAGAAGGAAAGGACCTTTTAAAACCATAAAGTTTGGGACCAACATTGACCTTTCTGATGACAAAAAGTAAGTTTTCCAGTTCTGTTTATGTAAAGTAAAAATAGGATTGCAGGATTGGAAATTCCCTAGTAGTTACGTTTTTGTTTGTTTTTTATTCCTATATTTTTTATGTTGACATTAGTTAAAAAAACCAGCATTTTAAAACTTCTTTATTAGGTTTTGAATTCGATTTTTTTTTTACTTGAAGAATGCCAGAACATTAATTTTATAAATTTTAAAATAAAAATTATGTGTTTCATTTACATCAAGCATGTCAAACTCATGGCCCATGGGCCACATGTTGCCCACAACGAATATTTTTGCGGCCCAGCCATTATAACGGTATGTAAGAAATGTTTTAGTAAAAATTTCGCTACTTAATTTCTACAATATCCTGTTATACATAATTATTAATAACAAATACAACATTTGCTAATGACTGATTACTATAATCGTGTTGCATTCATTTCCCTTGCGTGCAGGAGCACCGTTTCTCTCCACTAATACCAGCAGCGAATATTTTGGCAGCTGATTGCCAGATCATTAGTCTTGTACTGACTTGTTTGATGTGTGCAACAGAAAATATTTCACTTTCGGAGAACAAGAAAAATAGGTTTATTTGCATTACGCTTATTAATTTGTGTAGTTATTCAGTGTCTGGTCAGTTAATGTTCAAGAAAAATATTAAATGTTTATTAAAATGTTCTATTATTTTATGTTAACGATTACTCATTTCTTTCAGCCCTTTGTATTCAGCATGCCTCTATCGAAATAAACCTATGTTTCAATGAAAATTGAAGCTTTTTTTTTTTTGCGGCCCACATAAACTTAAACATTGTTTATTTGGCCCATGTTAGCCTTTGAGTTTGACATGCTTGATTTACATGATTATAATTTTTTTGTTTTTGTACAATTATCACTCTGTGTGTTTGAACTTTTTTAAAAAAAGTTAAACATTTTAGGACTTTTGACTTTAAAAGTATAATAGTTAGAAATGTAATGTTTTCTGGTCAGATCACAAGATTTTTAAGACACAGTTAATTCTCATAAATATTTGTAGTGAAGTTAAACTTTTTTTTTCTTTATTGATTAAGGTATTACATATGTGTCCTTATCCCCCCATTGTCCCTGTCCCTTCCCCCTTTTTTTTCTCACCCCCTGGTTTCTGTGTCTGTTGGTTATGCTTATATGCATGCATACAAGTCCTTTGATTGATCTCTCCTCCTTACTCCCACCCTCCCCTACCTTCCCTCTGAGGTTTGAGCATCTGACCAGTGCTTCTCTGTCTCTGGATGCAAAGTTAAACTTTTGATCTGTTATTTTATTTCAGGTGGAAGTTGCAGCTTCGTGAGCTGACTAAACTTCCTGCTTTTGTGCGGGTGGTATCAGCAGGAAATCTCCTAAGCCACCTTGGTCATTCTATTCTGGGCATGAATACAGTTCAGCTATACATGAAAGTTCCAGGGAGTCGAACACCAGGTTATTTTTATGGGCTAACATATCTTTGTATTTCAAAAGAAAGTGATAGTCAAATGTGACACATTTGTATAGTTTCTGTTTATAATTATTTTATTCAAAAATTTTTAAATTCTTTCTAATAGGTAAAAATATTTGTAATTATTCTTATAATTGATCTGAGAGTATTAATTTGTGTCTCTTATCTTTTTTATATGTAAACACCAAAACTGAAAAATATAACTTGGGAAGGAAGCAATAAATCACTCAGTGAGTGAACTATATTACAGCATTACATAAAGATTTTGTCTTGATCTCATTGATTGCAAGCTGACAGTTTTCCAATTTTTTTTCACTGTAGTTACATTAAGAACTATATCATATTACATGAACTTAACATTTATATAATAAACGTTTTTTGGTTTTGTTTTATAATATATATACATACTAGAGGCCCGTTGCAGGAAGATTCCTGCAAGAATAGGGCTTCCTCGGGCCTAATCCTGCAAGAATAGGGCTTTCTGCAGCCAGAGCGAAGCAGAGAAGGGAGCAAAACCCGCCCTCCGCTCCAGTGTCTGCTGCCTCGAGTCTGCTACCGTCTCCGCTGCCTCGGCTCCCTCCCTTCTCCACCGCTTTGCTCCCTTCTGCAGCGCTTGGCTTCCTTCTACACTGTCTTTGTTCGGTCTTTGCTCCGCACCTACATATGCAAATTAACCGCCATTGTTGCTGGGTTAATTTGCATACTCTGATTGGCTGGTGGGCATAGCGGAGTGACACCAATTTGCATGTTTCTCTTTTATTAATGTAGATTTTTTTATTGATTTCAGAGAGGAAAGGAGAGGTAGAGAGAGATAGAAACATCAATGATGAGAATCATTGGCTGCCTCCTGCACGTCCCCTAATGGAGATAAAGCCTGCAACCCAGGCATGTGCCCTGACCGAGAATTGAACTTGGGACCCCCTGCTTCATAAATCAACACTTAACCACTGAGACACTCTGGCTGGGCTATACTAAAAGTTTTTATTGAAAATACTTAAATATGTACTGATATATTCTCACTTCTCATTTTACTACGTTTTTAAAAATTGCAAATGTACATCTTTTAAAGCTATTCTACAATGAGATAATACATGTTTTATTTTTAAAAATAAAAATATTTCTTCACAAATAGGTATTACCAAATACTGCTATCAATGTATGGGCATATATTATTTAATATATTAATTGGTTGTAACGTATATAAAAAGTTCTGTTAGCCCTGACCAGGGTGGCACCAAAGGGTCAGGGGCACATACCTGGGTTGCAGGTTTGATTCCCGACTCCTGTTGGGACTTGTGCAAGAGGCAACCATTCAATGTGTCTCTCTCACATCAATGTTTCTCTCTCCCTCCTCCTCTCCCTTCCAAGGAAAAAATATCTCTGGGTGAGGATTAACCAAAAAAAAGTTCTGTATTTTTTTACTTGATGTTTTCCTTTCACATTTCATTGCACAAATGGCTTTTGCAAAATGGAAATATTCTGTGCATTGCACTGAGGTTTGAAAAATGGTTGTAAAGCTGTAGTGCTGCAAATTGTTGAAGGGATGGACATCTAGACTTTTGTTTAATTTTTAATACCACACAGAGTGTTTTAAGCAGCTTAATAGTACTTGCAGTGCCAAAAACATTGTCTTTCGTATGACTTTACTGTGTAGTATTGTTTTGCAATATAAGATTGTGGGGTTTTTTAAAGAATCATAAAAATTGCAAAAAAATTAATGACCAATGACAGCAGCTGATGGTTGTTCTCATTCAAAAAAATTTTCAGTCTCAACCCTGAGTGCTAAGCCATAAGTGACCAGCTTCTCTTTCCAACAAGAATTCAAGAAACTGATGTTCATTAAGTCTTTGAGAATGGCACACAATAAAGTATTTTGCATAAAGTATGTGCCAGTGAATATTAACATAATTAACCATAGACATTAAGCACTTTACATTTTCATAAACTTTGTTAATTTATCCAAGAAAGGCTTTTCTCACTTCATTCATATTTTTCCCACCATTAGTTGTAATATATCTTAGCAGATGCCTCTTCAGTAGTATTTAAAGTTTTTTCAGTTTCTTAGAAAATATTCTCTCTTGTAATGGTCCTGTGGAGACCACTTACAGAGGTGAATTCTTGAGTCACTTCACATTTGGTATTGACTTCTCAAAGAAACCAATTATATAGTATTAATAATCTGTTGACTTGTCAAGAGACAAGAAATCTGCTTGAAGTTATTTATTTTATTTTTGAATTGCGTATTGATGCTTCCAACATCTTCATTGAGTAATCTGTTCTCAACAAAAGGATAATAGTCCGGGACCATTTTATTTTCTCTAGAAGTACCCACTGCAACCAAACATGATTTAATTAACTCACAATCTATAAACTGTTTTTCTTGCCTGGCCAGAGATTTCATTTAGTCTTGCCTTAATTTTGTTTTAGTTTTTGTGAAGCAATTTAGCTTTAATGAAATACTACATTTTACATTTTTAAAATTTTCTGTCTATATATATTGTTAATCCTCACCCGAGGATATACTTTCCATTAAGTTTTAGAAAGAGTGGAAGGGAGGGGTGGGAAGAGAGACAGACAGAGACAGACAAACATTGATGTGAGAGTGACATATAAATCTGTTGCCTCCTGCATGAGCTCTGAGGGGAGCCAGGGACCTAACCCATGACCTTTTGCTGCACAAGCTGATGCTTCACCATGTCCAGAGCTGAGAGATATATTTTAATGAGCATTTTAAATGTGTTTTTTTTTTTCAGAGAGAAAGGGAGAGAGAGATAGAAACATCAGTTATGAGAGAGAATCATCAATTGACTGCCTCCTGCATGCTCTGCACTGGGATTGGAACTCGCAACTCAGACATGTGCCCTGACCAGAAATCAACCGTGACCTCCTTGTTCATGGGTCAGTGCTCAACCACTGAGCCAAGCTGGCTGGGCTCCACATGCTTTTAAAGTGTCCCATTTTCTTTTTTCTTTTAAATCATCACTGATTACATGCTTATTGATTTTAGAGAGAGAGGAAAGAAGTGGGGATATGAATGCAAGAGAAACATTGATCAGTTACCTTTTGTAGGTGCCCCAACCAGGGATCAAAATTGCAACCCAGGTACATGACCTGATTGGGAATTGAACCCACAGCCTTTCAGTATACATGAAAATGCTCCAACCAACTGAGCCTAACAGGCCAGGACAAAAGTGCTACATTTGAAGTCTTTCTTATTTTGACATGATGGCTATACATGGTAATAAAAGAAAAAAATGTTGAAGTATGGGTGTTACGTGTAGCAGTTGAAATGATTTTGCATTATAACTGTTTGCTGCATTTTATAGTTTGCCAGGCAATACAAGGCGATTAAAATGTATATGGTCTCTGTCACTCTGCTTAGTTCTGCTGTGTTAACATGATAGCACTCATAGACAGAGCATATCTGTGTCTTATATGATAGTCTTACCCATAAGAACAGGTGTTTGCCCTTTGAGCCATATTTGCCATGCCCTGATTTAAAATCTTAAAGTTTCATTTAACCCAAATATGTTTGTTAAATGAAAAAAAAACACATTCAAATATAACTCCCCCTTTGATAACCTTTGCATTGACTTGATATGTAATAAGTGATAGTTCATATATTTAGTCATTTGTAAGCTCCAGCCATTAGTCAATTAGGGCAAGTGATAGTTAACAACCAGTTCAGCTATATACTAATGTCTACACACACAATCATCCTCTTTTTGTTTTTGCTGCTTGCAGTTGTTATCTGCAGCAGCTATAGTTTGAAAATCCAATTACTTGCTTCTTCAGTATATTCTCACTGTATACTGGCCAACTGATTAAGTTAGGTTTTGCATATTTGTGAATGAGTTAAGCTCCCAAAGTTTCCTATTGGAATTTCCTGTAAAAGTTTTTGGAAGAAATATTTAAAATATCAGCATTTTTGGAACAAGAGAGAGAGAAACATCAATTTATTATTCTACCCATTCCTGCTTTCATCAGTTGATTCTTGCATGTGCTCTGACCAGGAATCAATCCCAGAATCCTGGCGTATCGGGGTAACATTCTAACCAACTGAGTTAGCTCCTCAGGGTTTTTGATGTACAGCTAGATATAGAATCCATTGGTTAGAATTTTTACTTCTAGGCTATAATTGGAAATTCACTTTGAATTGGCCATCATTGTAGTTACTATTGAGCAAGAATTTTTTCCTCTCAAGTTTTTTCTTCCTCCTATTATATACCATTAAACTGGATCTATTAAGATTTATTTTAATTATCTCATTCAATTTGAAAGACTTCTAAAAGAAAATATTTGAAAATGAAAGAGAAAATTTAAAAAGTCTTTTTTCTTTAAAATTTGGAAGGCATATCAAGCTTAATAGTATATGTCTTCGTCATTTGTGCCTAAAAGTGCTTGAACTTTTTTATTTTTTCATTTATGGATTTCACTTAACTCTAAAAGTATTGTTAGCATATTATACTATGTTAGTTTTATGTGTTTCAATGGCTTAGTGTTTTGACATTTAAATACCTTACGATATGATCACCACTTAGAGTCTATTAATTATCCGTTCAGTTACCACATTCCCCTTCACTTTTTTTTATCCATGCTCCCAACGTTCTACCCTCTAGCAATCAAGAGATTGAGATGGATATACAATTAGTAATGTTAAAAAGTGAGTTTTTGTTTTTATCTTTGGGTGTTTTTTTTAAATTTCACATATAACTGAAATCACACAGTATTTGTCTTTTTTCTGTAGGTACATCCATGTTGTCACAAATGGCAAGAGGTCCTTATTTATTGCTGAACTATAATATGTGTGCAAATGCACATGTGTGCACATTATATTTTACCCATTTTTCTATGGATATCTGTATTACTTTAATCTTGGCCAACATATCTAGAGCTCTTTTTAATTTTTTGACAAAACTCCATACTGTCTTCTATCGTTACTGCACCTTACAATCCCACCAGCAGTGCATGTGGCTTACCTTCC